CATTTTTGGAAGGATCATGCACTTTTAATTATTCAGAAGTAACTGTTCAGTCGAAGGGTTTTTTTCAACAAGCTGCCGGGAACAGGTACGTGTGTGTGTGTGTTTTTGTGTGGTTTTGTGTGTGTGTTTTTGTGTGTTTTTGTGTGTTTTTGTGTGTGTGTGCACATGTGCTTCTCTTTGAAGGAGCTGTGGGAGTCAGTCTGGAGGACAGAGGGGTGACAGAGTAAATCTAGGGCATGTTTTCATATAAAACGGCCCACACCACAGCTCTCTGTTGGGAAAAAAAAAAAAGAAAAGAAAAAAAGAAAGAGAACTTTGCCTCATTCCATTCCAGTCTTGGCCAACTGTGTTAGTGCTGGTTGCAGCCCTGTTAGACCACTTGCTGACATGCTGCAACTCCTGAAGGTCCCAAAAGCTCCTCATTTCCTGCTGATCTAAATTCCTGCCATTACAGGGAGCTGATGAAGCGTAGGAGGGCTCCAGTGAGTGCCAGAAGAAACACAAGTTGTGCAGCAGAAATGTGTGTCCAGAAGAGAAGAAGGGAAGGTGACAGAGGGGCACCAAGAGCTTGTGGCATTGGTAAACCACCCTGCCAGCTCTTGGGAAACCATACTCTAGGGAAGAAATTTTCCCTGTCTACCCCACAATTCCCAGAGACAGGCAGCATCCCATAGGAATATTTTGGAGCAACAGCCATTACCCTCTCTAAGTCACCATTTGGAGGAGTTGTTTCCCCAGAAATCTCAAGGCAGCCTGCAGAGCAGACTTTATGGCTACCCAAAACCTGCATTTATGAAATGCTTTGCAGTCAAACCAGGTGGTCTGCAGTACTTGCCAGATGATTTGCAATGTTACCTTGCAATTATTGTGCACAATTTTACATGCAATTCAACAAGTCATTTTGATCCACTGAGAAAACAAGAGCAGGGAAGTGATTCAAGGTGCTTCATGTGCAGTACTAACCTCACTGAAGACCAACCACTCTTTCCCACTGGGGTAGGCTTCTGCTGGTGCCAGAAGCTGAAGTGGCTATCCAAGTGTAACTCCAAGTTTAACTATCAAAGGACAATACAGCTGGCAGGAGCAAGCTGAGTGCTGGAGGTGGATGAGAGGAGCAGAACCCATGCTGGCTTGTTAGCAATGAGCTGTTAGATCAGCTCACCTCATCCCAAAGGAGGTTATGGGATACAAAGGCTGGTCTAACTTTTGAATGAGAGCAAGGTCTAACACACATTTAACAAGTGGCCAAACCAGCACAAAGTGACCTGGAAGAACTGCAAGTTCTCACTGAAGCTTCTGCAGTGTTACACAGCAGGCAAATGGCAGGCCTGAGAACACAGTCCCTGTCCTAGACCTCCCTCTTGCCCTGGACTTGCCTCCACTCCCAGCCAGCCTGTGGTTTCTCCAGAGCCTGACAGCAGCCCTTCCAGCTGTGCTGACTCCAGGGGTGATGTGACATCCATTTGCTAGGAACTGGACTGGGACCAACAGCTCCTTTTGTATCTCCCCACAGCCATCACTGCTTCTTCTTCTACTGAACTATTGGCTTGGACAAGATTCAAATTTGTTGCCTATGGGTGAAAGGTTCTTTGTCCCATCATGAATTCCACACCCCCGCTTTCCCTAGCTCCCAGCTGTCATGTCCTACCCCTCTTCCTCCCAGTGGCTCTCTGAGCTTCTTGACCCTTTTCAGCTGTCCCCTTTGTGCCTGTATCCAGCTTTCTGATATCCACAACCTGGTTTTCCTCTTTCCTTTGTCAGATTCTCTTTGTCCTTGAGCTACTCTGCTCTTGTATTGTTTTCCTCCAGTTTCAGCATCACTGGCACCAGTCTCAGCTTCCACCACAAACCAACGTGGACCTCAGTGTCTCAGTCGCAGGTTCTCTTTTCTCCCTCTTTCACCACACTCAGTGTTAGCCAGTTGTCCTGCTCCCTCACTTCTTAGTCCAAAGGAACCCAGGTTCCCTCTAAGTGTCTGGCTTTTTAACTGAAAAATTCATCTACCCAGGCAAGAGCAGCACAAAAGACCAAAATTAGCAGTCCCTGCATGCTCCAGAGAAATGGAAAAAATAGGAAAAGGGAGTTGGACTGCAGTGAGCAGGGTGTAACTGAGGGGGAAAACACGATGGATCATGGGCACACTCAGGGCTTTCCTGCCTGGAAGCCACACTGCGGCATCACCTCGGGCTGACACAAGGTGGCCTCTGTGGCTCACAGAACAGTGATAAGTGACAGCCAGCCAGGTGGACACAACATTCCAGCCCACAGTGGAGCAGTCACTAAACGGATGTAGGCTTCAGAAAAATATCCATCACATAAGTAAGACTCCACCTGCAATTAAACTATTTAAATGGGTAGGTTTGCCAAGTAAGGCCACTGCCATAAATAACTCCTCACCAATACATGTTGTATTTTTCTTTCATATTTCAAAATATGAGGGTTATACCCTAATACCTGACATTTGGATGTGATTTAAGCAAGTGCATAGATGAGTTTAGAAATTAATCCAAGCCAGGCACATGCTGCTTTTTCTGGACTCAGGATCTCACAGCTGGGCTCTGACACAGGTGATCTCCAACACCCCACTCCAACAGCCACAGGAATTGCTTGGTTTGGATCAATGCATTGTCAGTTCATGGAGCAGCTGCTTCTCAAGGCCTCAGCTCTTGCCAAGTGAAATCCTCTACTCTACTGGGCTTTTTGGAAGTGAAGTATTTCACAGTCCTAAACCAGAAAAGTATCCAAATGAGAAGGTTTTCAAGACCAGCAGGAGGGATTCTCAAGTGAACCCACTCACCACTTCAAACATTTTGTTTTGAAACGATGATTTCAACCTCCACTAAAACTCCAATAACTCCACTAAAATAATATAAATTTTAGATTTAATTAGGCAAAAATAATTCCCTTTCCTACCACTGTTATAAAGTTTCATAAAAATCCTGAGTTTATTCCCTTAAAAGAAACTTTCTACAAGTGTTATCAGTGATTATCTTGGTAATTTCAGAATGAGCAGAGGTCACCTCCTGGAGCACTTGTTGTTCCCTCACCTTGGCTGGTTTTGGAAAGTCAGGTTCTTTCTAGCAGAACTGACTCCAGATCAGAACAGACTCCAGTCCCTCTTGGACAGAAAGCTCCCCCAAGTCTGTAAATAAATTGTCTGATCTTTGTGGCACATGAAGGACAGAAGGGGCAGAGCACATCCAGCTCCTCCAGGCTACACAAATATCAGCCATGTACTTGAAAGTTTGGATTTGTCAGGAAAATAACAAATCATCATAATCATCCCCATCAATCAGCTGCACTTAAGTTACCTCCAAACCCACACATAAAACACGGGAAGCTGTTTAAAAATAAATTACAGGTTGTTCTAATTATAAAATTAAGTGTATTTTAGATTAGTAGTTTATTTTTTAACAATGTTTTGCTGTAATGATATATAATCTTATAAGGCATGTTCTTTCCAAAACAGAAACTTGTTATTTAAATGAACACATCATGTAGTTACTGGGATAATTATTAGCAAAAATATTCTTGAGACAAAATGCTGGCCAAAAGCTGTTTCAAATGTTTCCTTTCTAGGAGCCTCAAAGACAAATAACTTTTAAGAGCACTCAATTTTCATATTCTTTCATGTAAATGGTAGGAATCTTTAAAAAAACAGTTGCTGTTGGTATTACCAGTATTTTCTCCAATTTTCTAGTACTGAGGGGGTGTATAGATGTTTTTGTTTTATTTTAATGCCCATTTCAGAATAAAAAAGTGCATATTTAAAGGTCAGCCTCAGTTGGGGATAAGAGCAACACAGATGATGAAACAAATGAATTTTAGCAAGATTAGTAGTCTCAACTAGGCTTAAATCATGACTATTCATATATTTAAATCTACACAAATCACATCTTTTTAGTCCTTAGGATTAAAGCATGCTATAAGCATAGTCCTTGAAAGAGGCTTTATCTTTTTGCTTGGAGAAATTTCATTAATCAAAAAATCCTTTCAAAAACACATATATGATATTGAGGAGGGAAAGGAAGCAAGTATTAATGAGACTATTTTATGCTAAATAGAAGCATGAGGGTTCATTCCTAGAATTACCATATATTTCTCTGGGCAATTCCTGACTGCAGCCACTGATAATGTTTTTTTTCCCAAAATGCAATCAGGCCATAGTTTATCTTAGACAAACAGAGTAATTTCAACACTCTGCATTTCTTTAGGAAATATGCTAATGTTATAATAAAAGCAAGGCCTTTTGGCACAGCTGGTCAGTAAAACTTGCTCTGGTCTCAGTGAGAGCACAACTGGACCCTTTCTACAGCTAAGATGACAAATTATCTTTCTGTTAAGCAGCATTCAGAACAGTAATTGAGGTCTTACTAAGCTTGACATATACCATAAGCAACCAAAGAAAGCAGTAACAGCTGGATTAATATATCAACCACTGCTTTACAAGGGTAAATGGAAGCCTTAATTGCCTCCTTGCATGTACTACATGCATGGTATAATGAAAAACATTTCACTAAGTTTGTACTCATTTCATGTTCACAACTATAAATCAATTCAAATTAGCAATGTTATATGTTTGTCTAACAAATTACTTGTTTTGGCTCTTTAACTTGAGCAAAACAAACTTAAAAGAGCAGAATGTGTCTCATCACAGCTGGACCTGCCACATCTGCTAAAAACTGCAGGAACAGTGTAAAGCAGCTCAATCAGCAATCAGAACTGCCAGGAGCACAGAGGACTTGCCCTCAGAAATTCCAAATATACATGTACATCCTTGAAAACAAAGATCATTTGAAGAATAAAATCATTTCTCTGGAAATGATAATGCATATATTGACTGATTCTTTGAGGAACTGGCTTTTCCACTGCCTTGAGAGGATTACTCATGGAACAGGTTTTGAGCACAGGAGATCAAGTACTGATGATTCCTGGCTGATTAAATGGGCAGTTTCAGATTTTTCTTACACCAAAGATCATGTGAAAATGTAGGTACTTACACAGCAAAATGATAGATAAAACACTTCCACCCACTGGGCCTCTCCAGGAAGTTGTAGACCTGTCCCTGGGTGCTGGTTTTGGTCAGATATTGGCTCTGGAAGCACTCCATGGTCCGGGCCCTGCCGGCTCCACTGTCCGAGCAGGCTGCAGCCCTTGTGCCTTCCCCGGGGCTCTGGGCAATGCCAGCTCCCTTATCCATGGAGGGCTCTGCATTCAGTGCCACAGGAGAGTACTGCATGGTGCTGAGGCTCCCCCTCACTTCCAACAACGCTGCAGATTTGCTGTTTCCACTCAGAGTGCTCAGCTGGAGGGTGGAGGAGCCTTGATCCTGCCCACGGCGGTTACACAGCGGGTACGCAGCAGTTTCTGCACCACCACTGGACATCCTGCAGCAACACCCAGGTATTGCTGTCTCTGATCAATATTTAAAATCATGAAGGAGGGATTGGATGTCTTCCATGCCCAAGGTTCTCCAGCAGCTGATAAGGTGACTTTGTGCTGTTATCATGGAGCTTCTCTGTGACACAAGTGCGAGCTGCCAGCCTGTCACCTGCTGTCACTCACATCCTCTGGAGTTAAGTCAGAAAAACCTATGAGACAGTAACAACAGAAGGAACAGGAGTCTGGGAAAGGGAAGAGGTTGAGACTTCTGGAGGAAGGAAAGAAAATTAATTTCAAAGTTACATTGTTAAAAAGAAAGCCTAGAACTATTTAAACAGTGCAACATTTGTGCAGCACCTTGTGTTGCAGCAGAGAGAGCTGATCCTACCAGATTACTTTAAACTGAGCAGTTCTTGAAGTGCCCTGATTAGAAATGAAGTGTTGCCCAAAACACACCTGAATGAGGCTTTGACCTTCAACACCTACACCTCAGAAGAACTTATCTAGAGCATACAGGAAGAATTTAAGCCTTAACAAAATTATTTCAGTCACCTCATGGTACCCAATCTTGAAGTCCACACAGGACTCTGGAACAACTTTTCTCAAGTGTAAAAAGGAGGATGCCATTAATGATAACTGACACAGGGAGGTTAATATTGCTACAAGGGAAAAGATCAAAGACTCCTGGCCCAATCCTCAATTTTCTCCAAGCCCTTTCATGTTTGCAGCTAATTTTGCTACTCTCAAACATGTACCTAGGCAAATAGAAAAGACAATAGGGTTCTTCTAGATCAATATGTATTTCATAAAGCAGAATTCAATTTCTGTTAATACAGAGCAGCAATTTCTTAGCAGCAACATTAATACTTTTGTAGGACTGAGAGTGGATTTCTTTTTTTGAATGGCCTTATTTCTTACATCCCACATTCAGAGTTACATTAGCCTTAGAATACTTTAGACAGACAATTTCAGCCTTCACACCCCCCCCCCCGCCCCACCTTTTAAATTAAGCCTATTTTTTGCTGTTGCTTAAAGCTCCTCTCGTGTAGTGAATGAACTCCCAGTGCACTGCATCTGAACAGAGCCCTCCAAGTTATTCCACAAAGTATTTACATGTATTCATTTTAACATGACTTTCTTACACAGGGCTCATTTCTTAACACTGCTCGTGGAAAGGTGGGCATCAGTTCACATTTCCACATCAGTCCTGGTGCAAAGAGAGAAATACATCCCTTCCCTCAGCAGTTCTCTTAATGAACAGCTGGAGGTTGCAAACATTAAAGCACAAAGCCCTTCATCCCAGTCAGCCTGCAGCAGGTTCTTAGGAGCACCTCTAAGAACATCCTTTCACTCTGGGGTGCTGGGGCTGCCTGGACAAGGCTGGCTAGGCAGAGCTGCAAGCCTGGAACACCTCTCCTGGGCTGCTCCATCCCCACACAGCATCCCTCAGACACGGCACAGAAAAACCTGAAAGCAGCTGGCAATCAGCACCTACTTTCTCCAGGCGTGTCCCCGTCCCGGCGGCCGCTGCACACCGCAGAGTCCCTGGAGAGGTGCAGGAGAGGAGCTGCTGCCCGGCTCTGCCCACAGCTCCCCAAGTCCCACCCTGAGCAAGGCAGGGGCCCTCCCTTTGGGCTGCCTTATATGGCTGCCCTTGCAAAAGGCACAGAAAGAACCGGGAGCAGTTTGGATGATTTCAGAGAGAAGTTACTTCTGTCTCTTCCTGCTGTCAAAACCAGCAATCACAAGCAACAGCTTAACTTCCCTCCCAGTCTTTTTCTTATCTGCAGACACTTCATTGCAATGCATTAAAAGCAGCCTTTCCTTACTGCACATCTTTAAACACTGAATTAGGTGATGCCTGTGGCAAGCTGGAGGCTCTGCATCCTCCTTTCATACTGGGAAAGTCTAAACAGCAGCTTCAGTTGCTCTGGGTTTTTTTCCATCAAAGTTTTGATGAACCAAAAGCAGTGCTTCATTGTTACATCAAGTACTGGAAAATCAGAGTTCTCTCATGTTGTTGCCCTTTTCAGCTCCAGATCATTTTTTATATTAATTTGGGAGGAAGAGAATCCCAAACATAATCATTCCAGCATCCAACCCTCCATTTTATTGTTGACCTTTCAATCAGGAAGGAGAAAATGACTAGTGCTATTTCTCTCCTTTCCTCCCTCTTGTAACAGAAATCAGACTGTTGTCAGCAGTACCAACATTCCAAACTTAAGATTCCCACTTTTCCAGAGCCAGGAATTTGAGAATGGAACAAAGGTACCCCTTTCACCCTATGGTTATCATCAGTTGGGGAATGCTGCCATTGCACATAGTCTTCACTTTTTATCATAATTGTTTGTGGGGCTAAGGCATCTCTTTCCTTGGAGAGATTATGCCAGAAAGTTATTTCTTAGTTTCCTAGTTATATTTCCATACCACTGCAAAAACTCCAAAACAAAACAAAAACCCAAACCCAAATCCTTTTAGTTCTTTTCTTTTTTCTTGATACATGTAGTCTGATCTAAAAGCCAACCCATCCAGAACATTTTCCTTGGATGCTGCGTTGCTCAGTTTACCCTGTGCACAGAATTGAATACATTATTCCACACACTACTGCAGGTGAGTGGTCATTGAGAACTGATACCTGACTGGAGCCACAAAAATCCTTCTCCAGGTTTTTGCTTCTTCCTGAAATGCTTGTTGCATTAATTAATACTTTTATACTCTCTGCTCTATTAACTTTTCCAGACAGTAATTTGCTAAATGAAAAAATTTCCATATCTCCTCACCTCTGACCTCTCCTGAATGTAATTGCTCCAGCTCTACAAAACTAGCCAAAGTACGGAGGAAAAAAAAAAAACATTGAAAGAACTCGAACAAACCAAACAAAAACCCCCAACCAACCAACCAACCAACCAACCACCAACCAACCAAGAAGCAATTTTTGTAGATATTTTAAGGTTAAAAATAAATTTCCTTTGAGTGAATAATAGTACCCAGCTTTACTGGAAATGCAAAAACTCACCATAATAGCAGCAGGTTTGAAACCCCAGGAGAAATAAAACCAGAGCACCTGACTCCTATTTCTTTGTTGAGGAAAAGATGATTTAATGATAAGATTTTAATAGACTGAGAGGTGGAAGACTTGAACTCATTCCTTCACACACCCCCAAAAGCAGTATATTGCATCTTTGAGTCAAAACCTCAAAAGGCAATTAGTCACCTCACTAATTTATGACCTGCATCACAGGCATGATTTCAGGTATGTCTAAATGCTGAAGTGTTCACTGGTAACTATAGATGCACACAGCATCCTGCAACTGTGTATATACAGGAGCATGACTTCTGTGGCTGGGCTCACTTCATGTGTTTCATTTTGGTGGGCCTGGTGCCACCCCTGTGCTCAGAGAGCACATCTTCCTCACCCTGACAGCACTGGATTTAGCACTAGACCTGGGAATTTATCACCAGAAGGCCAGGATGGGAAGGCACAGAGAAATGTATGGCTCTGAGATGCATTTTTGAGCCCCTCCTTGAGGAGGAGGCACTTCTCAGAGACAAACCTAAACACAGCACCACTGGCACCACCCATCACTGTCTCCTCTGGGGGCTGTGTTTTAGAATGAAAGTGTTAATGAGTCATGCAAGAGACAGATAATATGGAACCCTTAATGCTAGAAAATATCTTGAAGGGTAAATAATAGATGAGACTTAGAAAACATTCCCGCGCCCCTCTGTCCATCCCGGATTCCGTTCTCCGGACGTAAGCTCTCTGCATCAGTGCTCTGGAAGATCTGCTCTGGATCTGTGAGCTGCAGCTCTGCCAGCACTGATAGCCAGGAGCTGGGCACTGCTGAGTGCCACACAGCCCCCTGGGCCAGCTGTGGGATCTTGACAGTGATCACACGGGGGCACAAACTCAGCGAGTTGTGCTGGTACCCAGAATGCCTTTGAAGGGGCAAAATTCCAGCCCTTGCTCTCTGATTCAGCTTCCCAGCCTGGTGGGCTCTTACAAGGGACTGCAAACAAAGGTAATTAAGAATCATGAAATGGAGCTTCAGCTCTGAGTTCACTTAACAGCACCCCCTATACTTTTTATTTTTGAACTGTAGTGGGACAATATTCTTCTTGCCATTCTACACAGTTCAGTTGTCTGTGGAGCACTTGGCAATCTATTTAATGTGCCCCATGAACACCATTATTCTCCTTCACAAGGATATGCTGAACATAAACTAAGATTATCATGACTTGTACACTGTGGTATTAGAAAGATGCTGCATGTCCAGATTGAGACACTGGGCTTCCGTTCTCTCCAAAAGTTTGCCAAGTGAAATGAAATGTATCTTTTTTTACCACACAGGCAAAGATATGATGTGACAAATTGCCTTTTATGAGTGCTGGCAATGCTTCATTATTTTTGTACAACATAGATAGTCTACAAGGCTGACTGCTTGACCCAGAGTAGTGTCTAAGAATTCCATAAATCCCTCATTTCCATGACAGAATGCCAGTAAGAAATTAAACTGACTCTTGCACTTATGAAGGTTTTTTCCTCTCTGTTCAAACTAAAACTAAAATATTTTCTTGGAAAAATGAACAGAAGATGCAAGTTCTTCAAGAAATGCTTGAACTTCTTAACAGCTGTGATGTGAAGTGTCAACCTCATAATATGATGCATATCATGAATATATAGATCTTAGAATTATCATAAATGTATAAAACTTATACTAAATCATACAATATTATCCAAACAATTGTTGTTATGTTGACTCTAATAACAATTATTCACATGATCATTAGAGGGGGAACTAGTAGCAACTTTCAGGTCAGGTTGTCTGCCTGTTCTTACAACACCTGTCCCTTTCACTTCTTGAAAATTCATCGACATTGTAAGCACCTGGGCCTAAATTTTATTCTGAAAATCTCTAGTTCTGCTTTTGACTGGTTGGTTAAAAAGCTATTCAGCCACTTTTGACCATGCAGACAGAGGAAAATAGGTATCTCTTTTAAAAT